GTGTCAAAAAATTTGGAGCACCATAGAGTTCGCAGCATACATAGACCTATATAGTACTACTTCAGTGGCAGCATAGAAAGAGAACTGTCTTATGCGGCTCTGTAAATTTGGCCCCCCTTTTTTGATTTTAGGATTTTTTTTATTATAATTTGTTTTAATTTTTTGGTTTGATTTTGTGTGCTGAAAATAGTCTGTATTTTTATTTTAAATTTTTTTATTTTATTATGTATACACTGTGTATTGGCTGGCGGGTGGTGCAGAGAAATCATCTTTTTGTTTTTTTGTTTTTGAATTCATTGCATTTACTTTAAGTTATCAATAACTTTTATAAAATTTGTTTTCTATACTTATACTTAATATTATAAAGAGGAAAGATTTGTTTGTTTGTTTGTTTCGAATAGGCTCCGAAACTACTGGACCGATTTGAAAAATTATTTTTCCATTAGAAGCCGACATTGTCCCTGATGATCATAGGCTACTTTTTTTTATATATTTTTTATTTTATTTTTTTGGTTTCATGGGTGTTTTAATGTTTCCGAAGCGAAGCGAGGGCGGGTCGCTAGTCTATCTATAAGATAATAGTATATATTTAAATTGTGCATTGTATTTGTATTGCATTGATTAATTATTTATGAGTAGTTCATGTGACGACCTTTATCTTTCTGCCAATGAATCTCTTTCTTCTGTTTCTTCGTTAAATGAGGATAGTTTTTGTTCAGTATCTGGTACTCTTGGTGACTGTGTACGACGATGTTTTAGCGAAAATTCGGGCCTACTAAATTTATGTCACATTAATGCGCAAAGTGTGCCCATTCATTAAAGTGAAATTCTGGAAAGTTTTGATAATACTGACATTCATGCTGATATCCGAGAGCTGGCTAAAGCCTCATCTTCTTTTCACTAGTTATCCTCTTCCTGGTTTCGATTTGATTCGGAATGATCGTGTTGATAGGAGAGGCGGCGGCGTTGCTATCTACCTTCGCAGTGTTTTTTCTTATAAAATCCTCGACTGTTCTCCACCAAACTGTTCAACCTCTGCTGAGTTTCTTTTTTTGGTAGTTTCCGTTAAGGGAGTTAAATTAGTGCTGGGTGTTGTTTATTGTCCTCCCACTGTAGATTACTTCTCCAGTCTCGAACCAATTCTGGAATCCTTAGGCTCAAAATATTCACATCACGTAATTATGGGAGATTTCAACACCGACCTTGCAGTTCACTCATCTCGATCCTGTAGACTCTTAGCTATCGTCGAATCCGCTAATCTTCAAGTCCTGCCTCTACAAGCCACTCATTGGAACAGTGATGGGAAAGACACCTGGCTTGATCTAATTCTTACTTCCTCTCCCACCCTTGTATCATCTCATGGTCAATATCCTGCACCTGGCTTCATGACCTCATTTTCCTCTCTTACTCCTTAAGTCCTTCGAAGTCCCAGCCTAGGCTTATGAGCATACGTAGTTTCAAACGCTTAAATTTAGATCAGTTGCAAAAGGATGCGTCAGAGATAAAATGGGATGATTTCATGGCTACACCTTCTGTAGATGATAAAGTGCGTATTTTTAATGAAACTATCCTTAACTTGTATGACATCCATGCGCCTGTTAGGAAGGTGAAGATGAAACGTCCTCCAGCTCCATGGATAACGAGAGGTGTGCGTATGTGTATGCGGCGTAGAGATAGAGCTTTTCGTAAATTCCAGAGAGACCGATGCGATGACAATTGGGCTTCTTATAAAATTGCGAGAAACCGGTGTAATCAGGTGATACGAAATGCTAAACGCTGCTACTTTCTACATAATATATCGTCTTCTTCAGTTGCTAATATTCCTCGGAACTCTAGGTACAACGTCAATACAGCTTTCAGTCGGCAATTGAACTGGATGATATCAATGCGCACTTTACTACAAGTATCCCGTTGGATCACCAGTCTACGCGCCGTACTGTGGAGTTTCTGGAAGGACTATTCCATCCAAATATCGACCCGTTTAAATTTTCCACAGTATCTATGGGTGAGATCAAAAAGATAATCCTCTCTATAAAATCCAATGCTGTGGGCCATGACGGAGTGAGCCGCCAGATGATAGTTTTGATTCTCGATTGTCTTCTTCCATCGTTACAACATTTAATCAATTCATCTTTGTCCTCTGGTACTTTTCCTGTACAGTGGCACAAAGCATTTGTGATTCCCTTACCCAAAATCTCTAATCCGACTCTTCCTACTCATTTCCGTCCCATATCGATTCTCCCTTTTCTGTCCAAGGTGTTGGAGGCCTGTGTACATAAACAACTGTCCCAGTTTGTTCATAAGAATGGTTTAATAAACTCCCTACAATCTGGCTTCAGACCGGGCCGGCAGCACCATCTCCGCTCTGCTCAAAGTGACAGGCGATGTTAGGGCTGGAATGGAGGATACTAAAGTCACATTGTTGGCTTTGGTGGACTTCTCTAATGCCTTTAATACCGTCAGTCACGAAATCCTTTTATCTATCCTGTCCTATCTTATGATTTCGCCTGAGGTGCTGAAATGGTTTACATCATATCTTCGAGGGCGCCAGCAATCGGTCCGCATTGATGAGTCTTCGTCTTCATGGCGTGATCTAGATACTGGTGTCCCTCAAGGCGGAATTCTCTCCCCTTTGCTTTTCTCNTATCTTCGAGGGCGCCAGCAATCGGTCCGCATTGATGAGTCTTCGTCTTCATGGCGTGATCTAGATACTGGTGTCCCTCAAGGCGGAATTCTCTCCCCTTTGCTTTTCTCTCTCTTTATCAATCTCATAACTCAGTCCCTTCAGTGTTCGTATCACCTGTACGCTGACGACCTACAGCTGTACTCGCAGGCTACTGTGGGCTGTGTGTCTGAAGCGGTTCGCAGAGTGAATGGGGATCTAGAGGCTATATGCGCTTGGTCTGGTAGGTTTGGTTTGACAGTCAATCCAACCAAATGTCAGGCGATTATTATTGGCAGTCCCCGTTTGTTGAGACGATTAGATTTTAGCTCACTCCCACCCGTAACTTATAATGGAGCAATTATACCTCTGAGCTCATCAGTCAAAAACCTTGGACTGTATATAGATTCTAGACTTGATTGGGCGGTACAGGCGTTGAATGTTAGTCGGAAGGTTACCGGATCTCTGCGTGCCCTTTATCGCTTCAAGAACTTTCTCCCTTTCAAGATAAAGTTGATGCTTGTTCAAGCTTTAATCCTGCCCATAATTGACTATCTTGACCTGAATGCAGACCTTTTGAACAAACTCGACCGCCTTCTCAACAACTGCATTCGTTTCATTTTTAATCTTCGCAAGTATGACCACGTTTCTACTTACCGCTCCGAAATAAATTTTCTTCCTATACGCGAGCGCCGTAATCTACATGCTCTTACTACGCTTCATTCTATACTAACATGCCCAACTCCTCCCTCCTATCTGACTCAGTACTATAAATATTTACATTCTTTGCACGATAAGGACTTGCGTTCCTTTAATTTACTCCTGCACTGTTCCACGCACAACTCTAGTTTGGTCCGTTCGTCTTTCGTAGTTCAATCTGTTCAACTTTGGAATTCACTTCCTCTTAATGTTAGGATGATCACTGATCGCCTAACTTTCAAAATAAAGGTTCGCCAACTTTTTCTGGAGAAACTTAAAAACTTAACAATTTGACCTGCAATGTAGTGTGTTCTGTGCAATATACTATTTTCTTGTACTATTATATTTTTAAGTTGTGTTTAAGTGTGTATATGAATATGTATGTGAATATGTATATGTATGTGAATATGTGAGTATATGATAGAGATTATATATAGATATATGTGTAAATTTTATATTATTATCATGATATAAAATTGTGTACGTTGTTTATGTGATTATATATATGTATATACCGTGTATGTGTTTGTATATTGTATAATGTAGTTTGGTTGTTTCACATTAAGTTATGCACCTGCCACAGGATTCTCTACACCACCCTTGGTGGACTGATAGAGAATGCCTGAGGCATTAAGTCCGCCATTGTGCTTATGTGCATTAAATTGAATAAATAAATAATTTCGTAAAAAATTAGTGTCGCGAAATCCACAGTATCGCAGGAACCATGGCGCCATCAGCATCAGAGCTATATTTTGCTATATTCAGTGTAGCAAAGTAGTAAAGAAATGCTTATGTACCTACAAACTTAAAAAAGGCTATCAAGAAAAAAATACTTTGGTAGATTCGAGGGTGGTTAACAAGAAGGCATTTAGGTGCAATAAAGTTAGTCCCTGAATTAGCAGATGAAGATTCTGAGAGTTATAAAAACTATTTTCGAATGAGTGAAGATAATTTTGATTTTTTACTGTAGGTGTTTCGGGTCCCAGAGACACTATTGTCGCTGATATTCATTAATGAATTCTATATATTTATCTGTACATCATCTTTGCCATTTTCAAGGTTTGAGAAGCGCGCGCGAGCTAAAAATATACACGTCCGCACAGAGCAGGTGCTTTCGCGACATTAGTTTCACGTCGCATCTACACTATGAAATTAGTTGCATGACACTAATTTCACCAAAAAATCGCGCAGGGCACGAAACTCATTTACATACATGAAATTAATGCATGCATTACGAAAGTATTAAATTACACGTGAAACTGTTGGTAAAACTAATGTCACGAAATTAATTTCATGCCACTAATTTCGTAATGTAAATTCGCCTTTACTGTTTCATATCTGTGAAAGTGCACAAATGTGAGAAAATGAAACAAAGCTGCTCGACGTAGCTTCTCGGGATCCTCCAAAAAGTCCATTGAAAAAATCTCAGTAAATGACCACGATTTTACTGAGATTTCATCCCATATTATCATCTCATCTCATTTCACTTCATTTCATCCCAGTTGATTAATGTCTCAAAGTAATCATCTTCATTTCATTTCACTCCATATTATCGTTTTTCATAAAAATAAGAATATAACATCTTAAAGGTCTTAGTTACCAGGTCATAAAATCCCTTTAAAAAAACCAAACCGTCTAATGTCTACTGAACAGATTACAACAAACAATAAACAAGTTTTATTATTAATTAATAAGTTCATTTGTACCAGAAAATGAACGCTCTTTTGGATTATGGAACATCTTCCAGTAGTAGCAGTGATGAATGTGACGAGACAGAAGAGTAAGCTAATTACAAATGTCAATGTTTTCACCTCGAATGTAAAAGTCCCCCTAATAGGAAGTAATAACTTTTTCAGATCTACTACAGAGACTCCGAAGCAGAAATTACCAAAACCAAGCTTGGGAGAAAGCACTATTCAAACATCAGTCTTTTCCAATCCTTTTGTGGCAGCTGAGCAAGCGAAAGCAGCGATCCTAGAAAAACATGTGAAAATGGTATATGTTGACTTTCTAACAACACAAGTTATGAAATTGGCTGAAATTGTTCAAACATGAGCTCATCACAATTTACCTAATTTAAGCTACTCCTTTGAAATTAAAACGATTAAACCCTAATATTAAAGTTTTCAACACTAATACCGGTGCAAACTTTTAAGTAGGAAAGTCCGTAATCAAACCAGGCATACAATCGTCAAGTACATAGGCTTTGACTGTAAGGTTCCAGGTAAAGATGGAATGCAGACTATAAATGGAAGGAAGATATGTTGGAATCACAGAAAAGGAAGATGTCGGTTTGGACATAACTGTAAATATGCACATGACACTGATATACAGAAGACACCAGAAGAATTAGAGGCTGAGAAACAGGTAACAAAAATATTCTTTTTGTTTTGTTTTCGGTATTATAATAGGTAAAATATTGGATTTTACTAAAAAATTACAGACCATCTCCTACTAAGTGATACAGGAGTCCATTTAACATGACAATATGAATGTTACACACTATTACTTCACACTTGAGTGAAGCCTTGAAGCTAAGTCTCAATTGTAGTATAACAACTGTTCCAAGCCTTCATACTGGAATGCAAAAATGCTTTGCAGCATAAGTAGCTAGGGTAATGGTTTTTATTAATGCAGAATTACTATACTACATAATAATATGTATAACCATGTTATTCATAAATAAGCAAATTACATTTTTGCTAGTTTGATTTTTACTATTTGCTATTGTTTCATTGTGGAAGTCATTCATGAACAATAATATGGTAAGAGCATATTTTACTTGTGAAATTGGTACATGGCTGTCAGATTTAAACATATGGAATAATTGGATATGAGTATATATTTTATCCTTTAAGTCAGCTCAAACTCAGTCTGACCTCATTTTGATATGAGGTTGAAATCTAGTGTATTGTACAGGCTGACCTACCCTACAATACAAGATGCAGGACTGTCTCAAAAAAAAGTATGTAGAATGATGGTACTTATCTGTTTAGGCTAAGAAAATACCTTACAGCCATTCAATGGAAAGTTAAAAATTTTGAGGGGTTAATTTTTAAATCACAAAGTTTATTGAAAAGTGACTAATTTAGTGGTTAGTAAATTAGAATATTCATGAACAAATCATAAAAATTATGCACATAATACTGTGTGTAATATAATTTGATGTACTATTATTAAAAAAAGATTAAGATGATGATACTTACTATAAATAAATAAAAAATAGAAGTTATCCAGGCAGACTAAGAGTTTAATTTTCTTTTTCACAGCAATACAAGTCAGTTATTTTTGAAGGGGCAGGCACAATGACAGCAGCACCGCCTCCTGAAGCAACACTGGATCCAGTATCTAATACAGATGATGTAATATGGGAAGGTGGAGTCAATAAAAAGAAAGTCAAGCGTCCTGGATTAAGTAAAAACTTAATACCCAATAAAAAAGTTATCAAAATGTACAAAGAACAGAAAGCTAGGGATGGAAAAAAAATATAATTTATTAGTTTTATAAATTTCACTTTCTATTTTATTAGCAGCTCATTTATCCTACAAGTGTAAACCCCCAATGAACTCTTGGAAAAAAGACATAATTTATAGTTGTCAACAAATTAACGGCCAGAAAATCTTGCATAATATGTTTTTTTTTTTTTATTGCTTAGATGGGTGGACGAGCTCACAGCCCACCTGGTGTTAAGTGGTTACTGGAGCCCATAGACATCCACAACGTAAATGCGCCACCCACCTTGAGATATAAGTTCTAAGGTCTCAAGTATAGTTACAACGGCTGCCCCACCCTTCAAACCGAAACGCGTTTCTGCTTCACGGCAGAAATAGGCGGGGTGGTGGCACCCACCCACGCGGGCTCACAAAAAGTCCTACCACCAGTAATTACGCAAATTATAATTTTGCGGGTTTGATTTTTTATTACACGATGTTATTCCTTCACCGTGGAAATCAATCGTGAACGTTTGTTGAGTACGTATTTCATTAGAAAAATTGACATTCGCCTGAGATTCAAACTCCCGGTGCATCGGTCAACACGAATGCACCGGACGTCTTATCCGTTAGGCCACGACGACTTCAACATAATAAAATAAGTTTCTTAATATAATAATCTAATAGTCTAAAGCTATTAATTTGAAGGTCTGACTGTTCTTGAGCAAGGAGTAACTATGGTAATGGATGTAACTTTTAGGTGAATATGGGAGGAGTAAAGTTATGTCTATGAAGGAGCACAAATGTGGACATGTCAAGTCTCGGTAAACGCACTGTGAATGAACGCAATGGGTCCAGGTAGTATCGATAATCTTTACTTCAGTGGCGGGCGGTGCGATGATAAAAACGTAATGACTGTATCATTCCAAACGATTCCTCAAAGTTACTCCCCGTGGAACATACCATTTCTGAATGTGGCTCATCAGATTTTATCAAAAATCCCATGAAACTTACCTTTTTACTGAATACAAAGCCAAATTCTCAGAGCAAGCCAACTCAAGAGCCCTTCTCAGTGTCTTCACAAGCATATAAATCTTACCATGTATGTTGCGGTAGTCAAGTGCTTTTAATTTGAATAATAATAATAGTATAAATACTTCCTCTATTTTTTTCGGGCCGGAGGTCAAACCTCCTACGAGGTCCCCGCATCTAGGGGGCGCGCGGTGTATGTGGGACTGGTCCGCGATTGTAAGACCGCGGGCCCAAGGAATTTTAGGGCCCTACCTCACTAAACGACTCCCCTGCACTCTTACCCCCGACGTCCGATCTCCTTCCGAGGTCAGAACCCGGTCAGAGTATGGGGGGTTCCCGCAGTCAACACTACAACGACACGCGGCGCCACCCCGAGGACGCCTGACCGACGGGTCGTCGAGGCGATAGTCGACGACCAACGACGCCGGTCTCTGCGCTACGGAGGCACTACGGGGCCGCCCGGGCGATGTTGCTGGTGTTCCGGGATACCTCGCTGTGCCAGAACCAGCCTGCCGGGTCGGAACGCGACACACCGCCGACCGGGATAAATACTTCTCCTATATTAACCCCTTTGCCGTATCTTTATTTTGTGTTCCTACCGGACAATATTTCTTATGGCTTCTCCTTATAGTTTTCTATCCTTCTTTTTTTTATCCTACCTATGCTGATAACCTTGAGAGGATATTTCAGCGTGAGCTCACGGGGCTCAAGCCGGAGTGATGCTAACACTGACCCTAGCAAGAGCAGTGGCTTCGCAGAATCTGCCACCGGATCGGGAACGCGACCCACTGAGAAGATCAGAAACCCAGTGGGCTGTGTCTATGGGTTAATTCGCTCATCAAGCCCTTCGTTGCAAATTACGGGTTCGACGAGGACGGTGACCGGTTCTTGTGGTACCTAAAACTTCTATCCATTTCTGCCACCACGTATTCAATAAGAAAAAGCTTTATATTTTAATAAAACAGCATAGAACCGACACAACGAATGCAACAGTTCGCATATCTAGGTAATATTTTGTCGTAAATTAGAGGAGCAGAAAACACAGCTTTTAGAATAGCCAACCGCGGGCTGCCTTCTCACAACTTCGACTCATTACTATAGCGAGATGAGAAGATTTGTCGAAGAAGTTGACTCGCAGAGTTAAACTGAAAATCTCCAAATGTCTCAAATGTGAAATTTGTCTTGTTGTATGGGTGCGAAACATGAAGGTAGGTAATCAAAAAAATCACGCAGCAAATTCAGTTTTTCATCAACCGCTGCTTGCGGAAAATACTTTGCATTTTTTTGCCTTAAAAGGACTATAACGAACGCTTATGTGAGGCGTGTCGGGAAAATGCCAATTAAAAAACAGATCATGCATCGCAAATGGACATGGATAAGCTTAGGAGAGCCCACACACATCCCAACGGAAGCCTTGTCGCAGTGGAGATGAAGACGATCGGGTTAACCTGGCCCGAAGTATAGCGCGTAGCCCAAGATCAATCGCGTTGCCAAAATACTGTCGAATTCCTTTGCCCCGGCTAGGGGCCTTAGGGCCTTAAACACATGTAATACAACAGTGCTCTGGGACTTCGTATCATGCGCGATAGTGGGTGACGGTATTCACTTACAGATAGCTTACTTCATACTTAGTTCACATATAGTACGTTATAAATAGTAAGGCGTAATCTTNAGCGCGTAGCCCAAGATCAATCGCGTTGCCAAAATACTGTCGAATTCCTTTGCCCCGGCTAGGGGCCTTAGGGCCTTAAACACATGTAATACAACAGTGCTCTGGGACTTCGTATCATGCGCGATAGTGGGTGACGGTATTCACTTACAGATAGCTTACTTCATACTTAGTTCACATATAGTACGTTATAAATAGTAAGGCGTAATCTTAAAAATATTAACAGTTTGTCGACCGTCATCTCCTGGCGCTTTTGATGTTTTTCCGGGCAAGCGGCTGAAACTCATACGAGGTCTGCCCTATAGGGCATGCGCAGTTTGTGGGACTTGACGGTCTGCAGATGTTAGGAGTCTACCAGGGCTAATGGATATTTTTATGATAATTCAATTATAAATTATTTACGATTAACATAATATACCCACCAAACGACTCTCGCCCTGCACTCTCACTCGACGTCCGATCTTTGACGGAGGGAGTTCCCGCGGTTAACACTACATCCTGACTCGTGGCGATGGGCTGTATGCATGTGCGAATCTACGCCAACCTGACCCCTGTTCTTTTAGTATTTTATCTCCGATAGGACGCTCACTTAAAAAAGCGAATTTGTTTTTTATGTTATGTTATGTATATAGATGGGTGGTCAAGTGGTAACTGGATTATTCCATTTAAATAAAAATGGTGGTAGAACCTACGAGTTTACAATACGCCCCCCCCCCCAATCACCAATAATTTACCGGTTTGAGTTTTTTTACACAATGCTATTTCTTCATCTTAAATGTTATTCATAAGTACATACGTGTTTGGTACGTATTACATTAGAGAGAAATGTTACCTGCCTGCGGGATTTCAACACAGACATTGTTGTCGCTTGATAAGACTTAAACGTTCTTACACATAAACATGAGGCTACGTCAGTCATTTTGAAATCATTGTGACAAATAAGATTAATGATATTGCATTAAACCAATACTTTTAAATCTGTTATATTTATTGCCCTTGTAAGCAGACGTGCATACGGCCCACCTGATGGTGAGTGGTTATCGTCGCCCATGGACTCCAGCAAGGCCAGGGGCAGAGCCAAGCCGCTACCTACCACTTAATACTCTCCACAAGCCTCTTTTGAAGAAGAACATGTCACAGCGCTAGGGAAACACCGTACAGGGGAGCTCATTCCATAGCCGGATGGTACGTGGCAAAAAAGAACTCTAGAAACGCACTGTCGATGAACCCAGCGGTTCCAGATAATATGGATGAACTCTGCTCCGATGGCGGGAGGTGCGATGATAAAAAGGAGATGAAGGGATCATTTCAAAGGGCGTACGTAAGACGAGCACCTGTAAGATATGTATGTGGAAACGGTTTCGAGGAAATAAAAAATATATCCGACGATGCATTTTCCTTTATTGAGAAACAATGCAAAATTCGATAGACTTTTAATCACAATGCACCAGCCGTCGCTATACGTGCATCTTTCAGTGTGCTTAGTGCGAGTTTCTTAACCGTTCTCGATAGCGTAAAAGTTAACACAATTTTGTATGCAGTTGGAACAGCGCCCCTAGCGGCAAACGTACGCAAACGATCCCATTCCATACAAATATGAGCTAACTTTTACGCTATCGAGAACGTTAAAAAACTCGCACTAAGCACACTGGACTGTTTATGTCCAATCACGTTAAAGCCAATTAAATCTTTGGGTGACAAACGTTTCAGTAGCGACGCTGTTCGTTGGCGCAATGACATCGAAAATTCAACTTTGCGTCTACATGTATAGCAAATACTTTTTAAGCACAGCGAAAGATCTCCACTCGTCTATACCACGGCCACTGACGTCATAGCGTGGAAAAGCTTTAAAAGACCAGCCATATAACATCCTAACAGATGCATGTGGATATATCAATCGAACTTTTTAAATACATTCTAAAAACAAAGTACATCACTAATTTCGACACCGAGAAAAAGGTAACAGCCATCTTTTTTTTCTTCTAATTCAATCAAATGTTTTTCTTAACTACATGAAATTAATTGAAAAGCCACTAACGTTAAATTAAGTGACCATTCACATAAAAAGTAAACTAAGTTTTTTTTTTCTACTTCCATAGCATTGAATAATTTTATTGCAATCTATACAAGTGAAATTCATTGGTATTTGCATTAAGATCTTAATAAATAGTGCAATACATTCCGAACAGGAAATTAAAACTAATAAAATGCTATAGTATATTTAAAAACTATAAGACACTACGATGTTCTGAACATACTCCAACAATACTTTTAGGAATTTCATTAATATTATTATATTCTTGCAATTCATTTAAGTACTTAAGATTTTTCAATGAGTAAGTTTTCAAATATACAAGTATACAAAGGCACAAACAATATACAAATAATTTCATTAAACATAATATATAAATTCAAGATTAACTACAAAAATAGTTTTTTTTTTCTATGCATAATAGTTTTCAATTTCACACGTTTTTTATTCGATTCATTAATGATATATACTTTTAAAATTTGTTATCTCAGGTTGAAAATTAAATAATTTTTTTTATCATTTATTCAATATATTACATGGTTTACAGTTTGACTCTGACATTGAAAATATTTAATACGAAATCATTGTTTACATATGATTTGTGTTTCAAGTTTTGTATTCAATTCATTATCTTGTTTAAAATTTAATTTTCTGTCCCATTTTAAATGAACATTGTATGTTCCATGTATTCAAATATATTATGTCGCTTTCGCATTGAAAATAATTGATATTATGAAATAATTGTTTATCATCATGATAAGCGCATTACGCGGTATTCGACACGCTTCGAAAATAAATATATTTCAGTAGCGTTCTTAGTTCCAAAATAATAATTTAATTTCGTGAGTTCAAAGTTATATAGTGGAATTTCATAAGATAATAGGTAAAACTAAAAGAATAAATTACGCGCACATTAAATCTTTACGGCGACCTTTTGAATCTTTGGCGACCCGAGATCAATTCTTTGTTTGATGTCTTGCAGTTCATTGGTGTGGGCGTTACCGTTTCTCGTGATACCGTTTCGATCGGTTTTCACGCCGTGACCGTTGACGTGATGATGACCGTTGGTTTTCCTGACTTCAGATTTCTCGCAACCGTTGATTTTGTCACAGGCGAGCCCGATTTTCTCCTCACTATGACCGTTCATCTTTGAATGGCAAATTTTGAGGTTGCCATGACCGTTGGTCAACTTAGTGTGACCTGACGAACGAAAAACACTATGAGACCGCGTCCACGAGACCCCCGACATTGGCGCAACCGTGTTAATTACGTTTAAAACCTACGCGTTAATGTTCGTTACGATCCTATCTCTCTGCGATTACGTTTTAGTCCATATTAGAAGAACCGTCAGTGGGAAACAATTCAGAGCACTTATGTCCCAGTAGGACTGGTTTCGAAATCTGCAAAATTACGTCGTTACTTTATTATACCCAAGTACATGTGTGCGGGATATATTATATTTTTTAAATTAAAATAGCTAAAGTACACTAATACTGTGCAAAACACCGAAAACTGACAAATAGGGATACAAACGAATACACTAGACATCGAATATACGAATGACTAAATGATAATATGTAATAATAAACTAAAAAAAAAGGTGTCTAAACTATAATCAAACACAATTACGCCAAATGTTCACATAACATCCATGCAAAATTTTCAATAAAACCACATTGGATTTTATAAAAAGATCAGAAATTAATTGAAATCTATAAGAGCACAAAACAGAGAAGCAATGATTTGATACAAGTGCAATAATAGACCAAGTAGTGGAGACAAAACTAACTGAAAAATGTAGTTTTGGTACATTGATGTCTCTTGAAAGGCAGTGAAACGGGAAAGACTATCTCGCCGCGATTACCGAAACAATATTTTCTGCGCGTCACCCGATTTTTTTTAAATATAATTAGCGGGCAATGTAAATACATATATTTTAGCTAATAATTTCAGAAATAGCCAACCAGTAGGTACTATTCGCCAACTTTGCGATACACCACTTTTAAGATTTATTGTGACGTTTCCTTCTATCAAATCATTGCTACTAATGACAGCAACAGTATTATTTATGGCTATATCTTACCATTGCACTCAGTGCCAGCGTAGTACCTTTTCGAGGTCTTCCAATCTTCTTTCAATGACAGATTGTACATTGAATATGCTGGATCTCCGGTGACTTCTTTCTCAATGGTCAGAAACTTGGGTAATGAAGCCAGCAAAATGGTCTGATCGTAAGCAGCGCTGTAGGTTTCTAGGAGAACCAAACCGCGACATCTAGAAGGATATAATGATACTTACGTGAATTTAAGAACAGATAATTGAAGACATGAGTGGATGAAGGGGGTTGTGATACAATTTGTTAATTTTGAGAAAGCGGGCTACAAAGTTTTGTTACTTGGTACTTTTTCTTTGTCCATAACTCCATCACATGCAATTTAAAAAAATAGTCTTTAATTCTAGAGTTCTAAGATTTAATATGGTTTATAGGCACATAACACCTTCATTCAATGTAAAAACTCAAAAATCTTAAAAAATTGTACTTAACCCCTTCATCCACACATCGTCTTTTTGCATTAAAAGTGTACAATTTCCAAAAATATTCGAAATTGAGTTAATATGCGGAATCATTTGATATCACCAGTATTTTTCTCATAAATACTCTCAAAAGAGCGTAATTTAGTTTTATTTTTTTATTTACCTATATTTTCACTACTATTAACAAAATTAATACATAATTTTATCTTATTTTAAAAGACAGATAATGTAACTGGTAAAAAGTAAAAAATAAAAAATAAATGTTGTAAAGATGATTAATATTAAAAATATCACATGTTAAACCTTTAAAACACTCTCCTGTAAAAATAGTAAGTTTTGAGATTATAATACAGTTATAATGCGAGAAGACGACATGCCTTTCAATTTTTAAGTTTTTGAAGTCTGTTATATGTAAAAGTGTGTTTGTTACCTGGGATGCGTCGGTTGCCTGTAAATGTCCAACTGATAATACTGGTTGTTGTAGATGAAACAACGACGCTTCTTGAAGATGGTCAGATGAGCGTCATCGCGCTGCGGCAACAGATTCAAATAATCTCGGTGCGTCAGTTGCGTGCGGACCTCGACGGACTGTCCGTTGGTGGGGTGGAACTTCCTTAACGTGTGTATGTACGACCAGTGTCCCTTCTGTCCGCGTTTACGTAGCCGGACCTGTGCTTTACGCAAATCGCTCTGCAGGTAGTTGTGAACGACATCGAAGTCTTGGAAGGGCGGGAACTCAGAGTCGGGAGCGAGAGGCGCCTTGATGAGGAACTTGCGCTTCTTCGAGTTGACGTTGAGCCGGTCGCCGGTATCGATGCCGATCTTCTGGCAGACGCACGCGATCAAACGATTCATCTTTTTATCGAAGTCCGTCGAGTTGTCGATCACGTCGAAGTACGGGTGACCGATCCAAGCGGCGGCCGCCTTGTAGTCCAGCTCTCTGGCGAGTTCCACTCCTTCAGATCGGCAAGCATGATCCTGACCACAATACAACAATAATAATTCGTTAATACACATTTTTTTATTGCTTAGATGGGTGGACGAGCTCACAGCCCACTTGGTGTTAAGTGGTTACTGGAGCCCATAGACATCTACAACGTAAATGCGCCACCCACCTTGAGATATAAGGTCTAAAATCTCAGTATAGTTATTACGGGTGCCCTACCCTTCAGACCGAAACGCATTACTGCTTCACGGCAAAAATAGGCAGGGCGGTGGTACCTACCCGCGTAGACTCACAAGAGGTCCTACCACCAGTAAAATAATTTCTAAATTGAAAAATATCATATTATCGTACGAGGTTATTAAAAATTGATTAGATGTAATAATGTCAGACAAATATTATTAAAAAGAGTTCCATGAATAGTTTGTGAATTGATACGCATTCGAATAGTTTTTTTACACAATTCTATAGATAGGTCAAAAAGTCAATTCTTATCGGCTAAAAAAATCTCACATGACAAATTCGTGAACATACATACATCTTGCTTAAATGATAATGTCTACAGATCGTCCTTCAATTCTACAAAGAACAAGAGGAAATAATTTTAATAATAGAATTATCGATCACATAAATCTTCAACACATATCATTAACATGATGTATTATTTTTATCTCTCATTCGTCTACGTTTTGACACATTACTTTTGCAATGATCGTGTGCCATGTTCTACAAACTTATTGATAAGTTTTGTTATATCTGTCTAGTGTCTACCTATATTATTTTCAGTTCTGTATTTTTGCTGCATAACAGAATAGAACCAAGTTCTCACTTGCTCACACTGAATTGCAAAGATATGGCGTATTGAATTAGCAAACGTGTAAACAATAGTGATAAGAAATAATATTACTATTATCGCAGTGGACAAAGGAGAAATCTACCGAGAGATGACACTGTAAAAATCGTTAACGCGATTCATTCATTATCATTCACATTCATATCTTTTGATATCACGTGCAGCCCTGATGAATATTTCGCCTTTTCGCATTAAAAGTGTACAATTTCCAAAAATATTCGAAATTGAATATGCGCAAACATTTGGTATCACCTTTTTTTTTTTGTTGCTTAGATGAGTGGACGAGCTCACAGCCCACCTGGTGTTAAGTGGTTACTGGAGCCCATAGACATCTACGACGTAAATGCGCCACCCACCTTGAGATATAAGTTCTAAGGTCTCAGTTTAGTTACAACGGCTACCCCACCCTTCAAACCGAAACGCATTACTGCTTCACGGCAGAAATAGGCGAGGTGGTGGTACCTACCCGTGCGGACTCACAAGAGGTCCTACCACCAGTAACCTGTATTTTTCTCATAAATACTATCAAAAGAGCGTAGTTTAGTTTTAGTTTTTTTTTTAGTTGACCTATATTTTGATTACTATTAACAAAACTAGTACATAATTTTATCTACCTACTTTAAAAAACAGATAATGTAACTGGTAAAAAATTAAAAATAAATGTTACAAAGATGATTAATAATAAAATTATTACATGTTAAACCTTTAAAACACTCTCCTGTAAAATTAGTAAGTTTTGAGATTATACAGTTTTAATGCGAGAAGACGATTTGTCGCATAAATCAAATTTCAGCAGTAATTTGATCGAGTTTCAATAAAACAGGAAATACGATGGAGTCACGAAATCTATAGTCGTAAACGTTTTATAGGGGGTTATCGAATGAAAGATAAATACGAACAAAGATATGTTCGGCACGAATTATGTATAATAATATTTTTTTNAGTTTTGAGATTATACAGTTTTAATGCGAGAAGACGATTTGTCGCATAAATCAAATTTCAGCAGTAATTTGATCGAGTTTCAATAAAACAGGAAATACGATGGAGTCACGAAATCTATAGTCGTAAACGTTTTATAGGGGGTTATCGAATGAAAGATAAATACGAACAAAGATATGTTCGGCACGAATTATGTATAATAATATTTTTTTTTATTTAACTTGACACGAGACCAAAGCAAACAATGAATGTATAATGATACCAATATTGCTTTTGTGTTAACATCATTAATGTTAATTACCTACATTACTAGTTAAATTGAGTCGACTATTATCAAAGCCGGCAATGTGACTTTTGGACAATTATTGGTAAATCAGAAAAACGAATTATTGACTTTGTATTCCATTGGCAGTCACAAAACTCTTCTGAACGACATCTTAGAGATAAATAACAGGTTAAGTATTAACCTTTATTTAATGCAGGTTTTGAACCGTATTCTTTGAAGGAGACGATTATATTCAAATCAATCTGTATTGACATATCAATAACATTTTTTTGTCCAAATGCACAGATTGCCACCTTTGATAATAGACGACTCAATTGTCAACGACATAAGTTAGTGTTATAAAGTATTATTTATTTCATAGATGGTTCAACAAATTTACGACCCACTTTTTGATACATTTCTACCAGAGCCGATAGACATTGCATGATTATTTATTTCTATAATACGGCGAAACACATTTTTTACTTTTTTTGTGGTGTTCAGTCAAGTGAAACACATACTTGAAACATGTTTGGATAATCTTATTCAAAACAGTTGAGTCTAACAAATTTGAGTATGAACAATTTATAACTGAAATTAACGCTAATCTTCAATTGATCCCTTGTTTGTACCAAGTTTCAAAATGAATCGAAGTCTTGGTTAGTCAGTGCTTTTCACTGATTGAGATCAATTGTCACACGTGAAAAAAAGTAGGTAAGCAATATAAAAATGCATTCATTACATTTCAGATCATCGCAATTACTTTTGTGCACTTTTTAGCTTCCATTGAAAACACTTTACAGTCAATAAGGAAATAGAAGTGTTATTTTATATCAGTGTTGATGAACATTAAAAGTAGAACATTATTCAAACGTTACATGAACGAATTCACGGATAACAAGAACCCTACTTGGTGTTCGGTTTCAAATGAAACTAAAACAAATTACTGCTTCACCAAAAATGGGCAGTCACCATCAGATGGGCCGTATGATCGACCCTCTACAAGAGTATAGAAAAATTGAAACAGGTACATTTATACTACACTAATTAATATATTAATCTACAGTGGTTTTTACGGATGTTGCATAATAACTACTGAATCATGCATCCGATTGGCTTGTAACTTGGTATCCATGTAGAAAATACATGTACTTAATGGATAGGCTAATATTTATATGAGTGTTGGACTCCCTACACCAGTTGCGGGGGCGTTAATGATGAGAATCTTTGTGGGGGTGAGAAATAATAATGTTAATTTTAAATGCCCAGCGGAGCGGACAGGTTTAGCGTTTACTATAAACATTGTTATAATACGATTTTTTTAAATGTTAATATCTAAATTAAATCCAACATTACGTATGAAAGTAATAAAAAAATTCATGCATTAAGATTTTTTTTATTACAGACGAACCACTAGGTTTATCTTTATTTTTGCTTGAAAGAATTCTAATCATACAATGATGGCTGCAATCTAATATACTTCAGAAAACGTAACAACTATAATCTCTGCAAACGTGACCTCGTCATCACGAGGCAGCCGTCACCTGTAGGCCATAATATTACTGTGGATGTTGGCTTAAATAAATGTTGACAGGTGTAGAGCTCACAATGATACCTTACAATGTTTAAGATTACCAGCTCGCAATTAGATATCAGACTGAATGCACGCTTCTCGACATACCAAAAACTCTTCTTACGACAAACAGACATTAGAGACTTGTCGCTAAAACCTCGATGTCAGGTGATAAAAACGATTCTATTATTATATCCAATACAGTGATTATAACATATTAATATAGATTTTAATGTGTGTGCACTTGTGACGTCACCAGATGCTTCAAGATTGCCAATGTCATTTTATTTAAGTCCTATAAAGAGAGTAGTCTTTATAAGTTTAAAATATTATCTAAGCCACGCAGTATTATTTTGTATGCTTATGTTATGAAGTGTTAAGGTGACTTAGATAAAGGTCAGTTCTAAAATGAAACTATGTCACGTGTTCATAATTATAATAAAGGTTTATGAAATGTTTGGAAACAAAAACCCAATTTCAGAAGGAGAAAAATGTCCTTAACTTAATAAGAATTTATTACATTGAATAAAATATCCTTACGAGCAAATACAGCACAAACACTACAACAACACATAATTTTATTTCATGGTGAAGATGGTGTATCAAGATTTAAAATTAAATAGGTACGCACTTATTATGTAAGCACTTTTTATTTTTATAACATTTTTAAATCTCTTTGATGACAGGTGGTAATACATGGGCAAATGTATATAGTGTAATGTTAATTTGACGTCATCAAGTCACGTTTTTTCAATTTGCGCTGTTTCTCGCTGCCATTATTATTATTATTAGGTTACTTGTACAAATTGTACCTTTAAACGAGCAATTCTTGTATGTATAATCTGAATCTCGGAAACGGCTCCAACGATTTTCATAAAATTTAGTATACAGGGGATTTCGGAGGCGATAAATCGATCTAGCTACGATTTATTTTCAGAAAATGTTGTTTTATTCGTGTTTTCAATAATCAACTCTTCCCGACATCTATTGGCGAATAATAATACTATTTTTCTTAATTGAGGGCAACTAACCGCTTTAAAGACACAACAACATGGCGTTATGAAGAAAAAAAACGTCATCATCTAGTACTTTAAATATGTTAAAATATTAGTCGTATGATCACTTAAATCGCGCTAATTTATCTACCTATTTTTCATACTCATGTATCGCATGACAAAGATTATTACAAATTGTTATATAGAACTCTTGACACGTCTGCACAATAATTTGTACAATGGTGTATTTGCAATTTATATGCTTTGTGGAAATTTTCATTGGTACACACGTTTTACGAACAGGTCTGTTTATTTCCACTTATCTGTGTTTCCACGGTTCCAACAAAGATACTATGCAAATTGTTAATGAAATGTCTTTTAACTTTTGAAACGATGTAATGAAACCACATACAAAATTCCAATTTTCAAATGTATAAGTTACAAAACGCGTCCAAACGTGGTTATAGCGTACGGCATCGTCGGGCGGGCGACCTATCCATCATTAAAGTTAGGTAGGAAGACAAGGAGAGTGTTCCACTACAACATATGTACTGACCATGATGGATCAGTAGTACATGGAGTAAGTAGTAGGTAAATAAACCAGGAGGATTTTGTTGTGTTGTCTATGCAGTCTTATAATAGAACGCCAAATACCAAACGAGTTTGTTTACCCGTTGTTAAGAAAAAAAAAGTCTGACATTCATCATCTTGAACATGTCGTAAATGTTTTATTTTTTATTACGCCATTGTCTATATCCCAATATCAATCTACAGCGTGGCGTAACTAGGAATATATCGCGTGTTTAAATTACTTTTTTTTTCTTTTCTGTGGAATGCATTGGGGAAGGCCTATATGTCCAGCAGTGGGCAGATAAACGCTGATGATGATGATGATGATATGCTGATAGCCTTGAGATGCTATTCAACTTCACCCTAACGTGTGTAGGTGAGCTCACGGGGCTCAAACCGAAGTGTTGCTAACACTGACCCTAGCAAGAGCAGAGCTTCGCAGAATCTACCACCGGATCGGAAACGCGACCCACTGAGAAGATCCGGCGTGAAACTCAGTGGGCTGTGTGTCTATGGGTTAAATAACTATTAGGACAAGAACACAGTCTCTCTCTATTGGCTCTGTAATAATCTTACCTCCGTGGAATAGAAGTCTTCAGCTCCGTTAGCAGCGGATACCATATGCATGATGTGGTTGTATCTGTTGTCGCGTAGTTCGACATTATTCCAGTTGTTAGATGCAAGTATCGCCTCCCATTTCTCCTTCGATATAACTGTAACAAAACATTGTAATCGCAATTACCTCTTCCAAAGCTTGATAAGGTAAACCTTTGATTCGGTTATTTCAACAATAAATATTCGGAGATATCAAAAAATTAATATAACCTAATTTATTATCAATCTTTTTGTTATATACTTGGTGTATTCGTAAATCGAGAGACGATATTAATTATAGGTATAGTTATTTTAATATTTTCGGATGCATTTAAATCGGGAATTCACAAATCTATTATACAAAATTGTTGTGACCATCGAAAACTTACAATGTTATATAGTGGAGCTATGCGTTGTTTATTTTCATACGAAATTAACGTTGGCCGTGAGCGTGCAAATTACAAACATTTAGGTAGCGTAAGTACAAGTTTATTTGGAAAACATGTTCTTTCTTATATTTACATATTTTTTTAATGTCCGCTCATTAGATAGTAGCTATGATAGTCAAGCTCGACCTCATGATGTCTCAATGTACGTAGCGGCATTCACTTTTTTTTCCCCTACCTATGCTGATAGCCTATTTCAGCTTCTCCTTGACGTGTAGGTGAGCTCACGGGGCTCAAACCGGGAGCGTTACTAACACTGGCCCTAGCAAGACTAGTGCTTTGCAGAATCTACCACCGGATCGAAAACGCGACCCACTGCGAAGATCCGGCGAGAAACTCAGTGGGCACGCTTCGAGCTCGGCGATACAAAATTATTACGCAACATATATTAATTTGATATTAATTATCACGAACGAGTTTTAATCTTTATTTAATAATTACAAAGTCAAACAATGTATTCAGAGCGATCGATATCGAATAGTAAAACTTGCGTTATTGTTTTGAAGTTTTACTAATGTCGCAACAGTCAATTAAACGGTCAATAACCTTTAAAATTTGACCGAAGGAAGACCTGAACCGCCCTTTAGTGACGTTCTATTTCAAAAGAATTAAATGCTTTTAAAATAGCCCACTAAAATTGTAACGACATTATATTAACTTAACCCTGTGTAGAAACTAGCCTTTTGCGAAATATGCACGTTTAAATAAGGATCTTCTCGGTACAATCTATACTAATATATACATCTACAGTGGTTATTACGGATATTCCGTTATAACTACTGAACCATGCATCCGATTGATTTGAAACTTGGTATCTATGTAGAAAACACATGTACTTAATGGATAGGCTAATATTTTTATGAGTGTTGGACTCCCTAATAATAATAACAATAAATAATAATGTTACTTTTAAATGCCCAGCGAAGCGGGCGAGTACAGCTAGTTGATTTATAAAATCAACGATACTGAGGACGATAAAAAATTCAAAATACATTTTTAAAATTTGAACACACAGAGAACGCAATTTTCAAGTTTCATTACGTTTTTGTGTGCAATGTACTCAAAAATCATACAAAGATTCATTTATTCATTGTCATATACCTGGTGCATTAATAGGGATGGATATACTATACTGAGACCTTAGAACTTATATCTCAAGGTGCGTGACGCATTTACGTTGTCTATGGGCTCCAGTAACCACTTAAGACCAGGTGGGCTGTGAGCTCGTCCACACATCTAAGCAATAAAAAAAAAATAAAAAAAAATACATAGATAAATAAACTTACATGCACTAGCGTCCATGGCTCCTCGATCGCAGATTATCAGACAATTCCTCTGACTAGTTCTGCCGAGTTCGAAGAACGTGTTCTCAATCTGTATCATCGTTTTCAATAGGTTCTCTTGGAATTTCGAGGCTGCAACAATACAGACGATCGTCATTTCCGGTCAATTTATACATTCATGGAAAACGTAAGAGCAACACATCGAGTATTCAATCAAGTTTTAATTATTTTCTATCCTAATAGAATGTATTTAAGACAGGGTTTAGTGAATTAATTATATTTTAGTTTAATTTAGACTAGTTTTTTCCGCTTAGGCTTTGGGAACAGTTAAAATTGACCCTTTGTACGCATTTGGAAAGAGCGGTGTATGCTTTGAGGTTTTATCCACGGCATAATGACATTCGTTATCGATGTATACGTTGAGCGGTTTATCTATTACCGACGCTTTATTATATTGTAATAAAATCGAACAAAGACACATTGTTTTGATTGAATCTATGATTCGATGCGCCCGTTGTTTCGCACGTAATAAAAGCAACAGTGATAATTAAGATCATTTACGGCTAATCAACATACTAAAACACGTTTTGTGGATGTTTTTTTTTTTTTTATTATATGGTTGGACGAGCTCACAGCCCACCTGGTGTTAAGTGGTTACTGGAGCCCATAGACATCTACGACGTAATTGCGCCACCCACCTTGAGATATAAGTTCTAAGGTCTCAGTATTGTTACAACAGCTGCCCCACCCTTCAAACCGAAACGCATTACTGCTTCACGGCAGAAATAGGTTGGGTGGTGGTACCTACCTGCACGGACGGATGTAGTTTGTAACTTAGCAAATTTAATATGCTTAATAAGCTATCACTTTGCTTATACGTAAAAATGCAATAACAGACGTTCGTACAACTATTTAAATGGATTTAAACATTTGACTTTGGTTTAACATGGTTTTTAAACATTCGGTTTTATAGTCTTACTTGATTTTTTCAAAACGAATCTAAATTCCTACAATATTTTATAAAAAGGGATAAGGGTATAATAAATACGATTCGTTATTTCTTATCTCTTTCGGCAAAAATGAATCAAAAGTTTTATTCGTTTCAGATTATAATATAGGCACTAAACATGATCAAAAGCGACACGCCATTAGCAGATACATTTCACAACTCATCCTAATGAATCACTATTATAGTGATTTAATAAAATGATCATTATTACAATATGAGTTGTGAAATACCGTATTAAATGTCAAATGATTCCAGTGTATTCCAACAAGCTACTTTTCAACAATGACAATAAAATGGTCGAGTCAGAAAATCGTGACGAAGCTAGCATGATCTACTGTTAACCAGTAGGAAGCGATACGAACTTTTAATCGTTACACAATTATCCTTATTTTTTTCCCCGAATATCATCTAATAAAAATTTAATAAAGAAATAAATTTGGCAGCGCATTTAATTTAAAAGCATTTCTGGACATTAAACGCTTAATATGTGTGATGTGCCAAGAATCGGAAAAGAGCTCATTACGCACATATTATTGTCATTAAACATAGTTGAAAATGAAAATTTGTCACGGCAGTCGTGTGTGAAACGTACAGACTGGTCGTGTGAAGTATTAGCCGGTTACTTTAATAGGTACTGGTAATTGTACTAGTTTCAGTCAGTTTTGGAATTAATAATTAAATAGACAAGGACGTGTTTGACGACGCACTGTGGAACACGATTAAAATTCAAAATTTATAAATGAGTTTATAATATTATTATTATTATTATTTTTTATTGCCGTGTAGGCAGACGAGCATACGGCCCACCTGATGGTGAGTGGTTACCGTCGCTCATGGACGTCATGAATGCCAGGGGCAGAGCCAAGCCGCTGCCTACCGTGGTGCGTGTCCGAAAATACCTTACCTTCAAAAGTACAAACTTAGCTTAATAAACGTGCCCTGTAAAACGAATCTTTTGGGATAATTTTAAGTTCAGCAATATGAAAACTGTCCATAATTTCCCATTTTATAGTTGAAAACATTTAACACACCAGCCTGAGTTTGAAACCAATTGATACAACAATCGGGCCGTGTGCATCAATTTCTCTTTGATAACTCATTCGATTTATTCAACACGCCATTGTATACCTATCTTGAAACTCATACATATGGTGCCAATAATTTCAGACTGTAAAATGTGTGTAGCATTCGGACTTAAAATAATATTTTCGCAATTTGGCTACGGTACCCTAAAGAAAAGCCCATGTGGCTCGTTATTGTTTATACGTGTCAGAAGTGAGAGTGATAGGCAGCTAATGATACGACAGAAAGGTTTTGTTTAAAGCTTTTCGGTAGGCAGCGGCTTGGCTCTACCCATTGCTGAAGTCCATGGGCGACGGTAACCACTCACCATCAGGTGGGCCGTATGCCTACAAGGGGAATAAAAAAAAAACTTTACACTGAAATTCAACTTTCAAATTTTACTTTGACTGAGCCTCACGAGACGTTCCATTCCAAAAAGATCCTAATTATAAGGTACTCAGATATTTGAAAATATGTTTACATTTTTATTTATTAGATAGATGGCTCAGGGGCTCTGGGCCAATCCGCATACATTACTTTACATCTGATTCCCATAGACATCACAACGTGAATACCACCACCCGCCCACTTTACATATTTAAAGAGACTAGTGTTCGCCCAATGATCAAAATTCAACCATAATCACTTATAACTCAAGATTTAGATTCATTCTATGTGTTTCATTTTCTCGTTTATTTTGTTATTCATATCGCAGAAAAAAACGATTAATTTCCAAATAATGTTTTTGTTAACAATAAACTTCATAATAATAATAATAAAAAGAAAATCTGTTAACCACTAGAGGATAAAATAGTAAATAAATTGACTATTTTTAGTTTATACTAGCTGACCCGGCAGACTTCGTAGTAATAAATAAACGACTTTTGTATTAAATAAACTTAAAACAAACAAAAGGAATCCGTCCAACAGGGGACACATCAAAGGAAAAACAAAATTGTTATTTTTATTTAATTCTGAGCATTTTCATAATTATCTACCTTTTAAACCTTCCCTGGACTTCCACAAATAATTCAAGACCAAAATTAGCCAAATCGGTCCAGCCGTTCTCGAGTTCTAGCGAGATTAACGAACAGCAATTCATTTTTATATATATAGATAGATAGATGGTTCAGTTTTCATTGATATGAAAATTACACGCCCTTTCAAAATATTTACATTTAAAATTATCACTTTAAAGCCCCATGCTACGAAAGCGACGTTAAATGAATTTTAATTTCGGCAAATCTTATAAATAAAAGACAATCTAACAAAGCGCGCGATGAATCCACAACGAGAGCCAAAACCGTGACGACGTTCGTCGTCAATTACAAGGAAAACTGGCGTCGTCGTTCTGAGGTTGTTGGACATACTTGAAGCTAATTCTATTGATGAGTCAACGATCTCGAGACGGTCCAGGCTTCCGGGGGATTCCGGTTACCGGACCACCGCTTAGACAGTAATTACGAAATGTGAATAACACAATCAAACGAGTGTCGTTTTACAACACTTGAGTCCCATTTATACCAGTATAGCAACAGTATATTGTTTGCTTATTTCAATGTAACGCAATACCTATAGACTAAACATTCAACGCGAGCGAGTTTGCGTGAAGAAGACCAAGTCCGATTGATATTTTTGATCTTGAAGGTCGCCCCTCTGGTGGTATCACGTCAAAGACAAAACAGCCGCGTTTTATTTTCCAATAGGTTCTAAGCTAACATAATCAGATAATGCATAATAAGATCTTTACAAACACTTATCCCAGATATTATATTCCATCAAAATTTTGCAATGGTAGACTAACCGGCTGTTAGCGAAAAGATATGAGTTTGCGAACCGGGCTTGACTAGAGGGTATTTGCAAGGAAAATAAGAGACACGTCCCTAATTCCTACCATTACTAGTCTTGGTTAAGGCATGTTTCGAGCCCACGTTGATCGGTACCTATGTGTTACCTATTGCAGTCACCAAGCATTCATGAGTTCCATTGATTTGAAGGGTGGATTAAACGTTATTCCAATGCTGTTGTTACAGAGATAATATCGGTCTTTTAACTCAGGGTTTACGGCGGCACTCTAGCTCTGGCTATGAGCTACGAAAGCCGATTGATCGATAGCAACATTAGGCCGCGAATTCGTCTGTACACCTCCAATAATAAAAATAGTTTTAGAAACAATACATTGTTATTTGTGTCTACAAACAGCAGCTGTGTAGACGGTAGACAATTTACGTGGCATTGAGATATAAACGAACGAACAAGAACTTTATTTTAAAATTATTTTATGATAACAATTACGTGTATTGAATTTGTGAAAGAGTTTGTAAGAGCTTGCATCATTAATAAAAATCTTCACAATAATATTGATAAATATACGGAAGGATGTTAAATTGTGACACGATTTAAAGTGTACTTGACGAATGTCGCAAGTGCGGAAGAACGACAACTTTACCAGTTCAATGGATAGAACATTCCCGACGAAGAAATCTAATTAACGGCTTCTTCAATGAAAAACACCGAACAATTCGCAAACGAAAGAAAAAATATATTGAAATCGTTGAAGTTTAAGACACAAAGATAATAAGTAAACAGGGAATTATTGACAAGGTGAAGTTAATTAAATTCTTACTGAATAAAATTTGGTTTTAACCAGTTGAAATTAGTTTATATTTATTGTATATAAGAACGAATAGTTATCAATAGTACTAAAAATTCAGAGAGTTTCGTTAATTCAGACGGTATCAATGACATTGTGTAACATTAAATGCGGTCGGGGTACCGATAAATACTAATAATAAATAATATTAACGTACCCATCAAATTTATGAATAATAAAAAATCGAACGTAATTTCTCCGGTGCTTGGTAGTAACTGATCGCGTGATAATAACATAAAACGACAGAATTTACAGAAGGTACAGTTAATGTTAATGATAACGATACGATTTGCATTCTAGTCGACATGAAACTTTAATTTTTTATCAATAAATAGCTTTTTACAGTACAGAGTTGTCAGCGTATATCTTTGGCGATATAGTATCGTGTTATAATAATATTGAAGTACATATAGATTTAATGCAATTAAGAACGTTTTCCGTATCGAAC